GTCACAAACAGTTAAGTTTGTACATGGCCTTATCTGGTACAGCCACAGCACCGATGCTAAAGTCAATCTTGCAAACAAACTCAGCTCCTTGACTGTGTGAGGAAGCTTTTAAAAGTTATCGATCAGGGAATCTCTGTTGGGGTAGGTTGTCAGGGAAAAAGGTTTTCTTTTTGTCTTACATGTTCACATGTAATCTTGTTAGAACAGATCTAAAAAGGTTTGCATAATTCTAAGGTTACAGCTTAGCATTTTTTTAACAGGCAGGCATTGGTAAAAAACAAAAAAACACAACCTTGCTGTTTTTGGCAGGAAAAATATTTGTATGTGAAGTTGTTCATATACACACGAAAACTTTATGACTCTTTCAGTAAATGCAATAAATGAAGTCAGAGGAAGTACAGAAACTTAAGACGCTGCTGAAAAGGGAACTGTGTTTTCTATGCGTTATCAGTTATGAAGTTCATTCAGGCTGTGAGGGAGTGAGAACACACAAACACAGATAATCTCTAAAGATAATCCACTATTGTGCTAATCAGTCAAACAAGATGCTATGGACAAAATACATATAGTCATTTGTAATAAATTAGAATATATGATCAGCGGAGGCCCATTTGTTTCATTTAAAGAATAAAGTTATTAAAACAAATTAACTTAACAATATTGTAATTTAATTTCTTTGGAATTTGCCTGGTTTATTCAATTGTCTTATAGCTGTTAAATGTGCTCCATTTCAACTCGAATCTAAAAATCGACTTAAATCCACCCCAAAAAAGTAAGTACATTTTTACACGTTCACATCAGTTTCATAGGTTAGGTCTGTCAGAGTGTAGTTCTGCTAAGCTGCCCAATTAAAGCAGGGACATGCCTACACAAGGCAAATATGGGTAAGGTAGAACCACAGGCAACCACTTCAAGTTCAAACGTAACTGTGGCTGCAACGTGATCACAGCCCAAAACAAAGCGACTAAATGTCACAGCAAATTTAATCCCATCTGACAGCAACAACCTCTGCATCTCTGTGTCCTTCACACTGAATGGAACTTGTCTTGGTGCTGCCAGCTGACTGCGAACAGGGTCATTTCTCAGGGCAAGTGCAGCAGACCGCACTTCATTCAAAAGGACCCTGCATTTAATAAGCATAAGCCTGGCTCATAAAAACTTATAAGCGTCTTTAAGTCTCAGGATCTTAAATGAAAGTCAGCTTGGATCCTGGTGTATAAAGCGGCGGCACATCCTGCTTCTTCATACAGCAGTGCAGTGTGTGTATCATACAACACATGGGAGTTCAGCTGGCACTGGTCAAAACATTCCTCTGACAGACCACACAAGCTAACCACTGTATGCTGCTACAACAGGAGCCACACAGAGCCCCAAGAAGGAAAAGTGTGGAAGATGAAAATGGCATCGGCAGACAGCCTGAATGAGAAAGAGCTGAAGATACGACGACTTACAGAGTTGAGAGTTAAAGTTTGCTCCATGTATAGCCCCGTGTGCGTGCGCCTGGCTCGTTTTCAGCGCTGGTCCCTGCGGCTGGTGCGTGTAAAAGAGTCCATCCGCTGGATGTCGGCTGAGCGTGTGTGCGAGAGCCTGTGCGCTTCGCAGTGCAGAGAGACGAAGCTGAGCGGGGGAGGAGGAGGAGGAGGAAGCGAGCGCGTGGAGAGGAGCCTGAAAATCCTGACAGCTACTGGGAGTTCAAAAGCTCCCTCTCTCTTCCCTCTGATGCCGGTTCCTCTCCCTCCCTCCCTCTCTGTCTCTCTCTCTCTCTGCTGTGAATTCGTCCCCTCTCCCCTCTGTATTTACCTCCTTCAGTGTCTCTGCGTCCTCATGCATTCTCTGCTATGCCCACAAGATAGATATGTTACCTCCAGGCATGCAAACAAGTGCTGCTAATGCCTCCACACCTAAGAGGAGAGGAGACACTCAAAGAGCAAAAAAAATTGCCCCGGATCTCGCAGCAGGGTGATAACGGTGTGCTTTCTCTAGCGGCTCACATTAACAGATGTTTTCATATGCAGCTATAAAACACCTCCGAAGACAGAGAAGAGTCAGCGTGAACACAGATAGAGCAGCCGACTAATGGTGTCATCTCCGCTGAGCTGAACACACAGTCATCTGCTGAGTGCAAGCATCTGTTTTGGGGTTGCAAAGAGAAAATCAGAGCTCTATAGTAGGATGCGGAGACATCTGCCTGACGAGCTCTGAAAGGTAATAAGACAAGAATATACAAAGCAGAACATTCTTTGACATGCCCAAACATAAAGAGGATCTGACTAACACTGTGCTCAGAGCTATGGGGGTTGGGGGGGAGGGGGGGGGGACAAATCAGACAAAAGCAGACATGGAATATCAGCCGCTTCTCCCTCTAACTGAGAGAGAAACACACAACAAACACAAACAGATCATATGTGCAGTACACTGTGGCTTGTTTGCAGCAGCCATATTAAACAAAGGGAATTAGTTCACTCTTCTTAAACTGTTGCCACACCAACCAGTAAAAAAATAAGACCACCAAAACCAGTTTGTTCTGTTCTCATCTACGTGCATCAAGGCTAACCAGGGCCAGAAAGGTCTGCCGTGGAAGGTAACGAGGAGCAAAATAGTCTCAGGATGTCCTTGTGGGTCCAGATGCATGCACTAATTCAGAGGTTATCATGTATTTATGCTGACCTTGTCATTCACAACATCCTGATGGCTTCAGTTTAAGGTTGAGATACAAGGTCTCTACAGGATCCTGAGCTAAATCTTAAGTCAGGAGTTTGTAAAAAAAAAAAATAAAAAAAAATAGTAAAGCAAAAGTTCTCCAACTGGTGCATCTTAAAGAAATCCACTAAACTTTTCTCCTTAGGAGTGTGCTTTGGCTGAAGATGGACGACCAAATTAAATTCTATTTATGTTTTCCAATGTTTCCAGGCTGCATATGAACTTAATTTAACACTTGCCATTCTCTTATGAAGTCTAATAATTTCCATCTTCCAGGAGGAAACAAACAGCTGAAAGCACAAAGACATCCAAACTTATTTTACTTCCCATATCACATTTAAGCTAAACAAAAGTGTACAATCTTTATCCACTTACTATCTCAAACTTTTATGGTGGATTAGTCCTACCCCTGGAACAGGACAAGTTGTCATGGCAGAAAGATGTTAAGAACATGTACCACTGGTATAAAACTGTGCAACAAAGCAAACTAAAGGTATAGGGATAAGAAGACAGAGCAACACAAGCCGGGATTATGTTATTCAACCACTTACAGTCTCTCAATTTATATTCACCAGGGCATAATCTTATAGCCAGATAATGATTCCAGGAAAAGCACTACATCAGCTGCTCAAAGATACTCAGAAGCAATTTCACTATTGATTGATGTGCAGCAAATTGCAACTTCTTGGAAGCCAAAGGAAATAAATATACTTAAACCCGATCAAGAAGACAAAAATACCGAGCAGGGTGTTAACCACTCATCAGCCAACTATCAAAACTCTTTAAGTTGCATAACTCATCACAACATACTTGAAACATGCATGGAAGATGACGGCAAAGGAAACCAACCGGGATAGCGAATTACTAACAAAAGACGCAATGTTATTTTCACATCTGGGTCAAACCTGCTCTAACGATGGAGCTTTAAAACTACAGCTCTGTTCAGTGTGTGTTGAGGCAAATCTGACAAGCAGGTTTATGGTCTCCCTCTCAGAGCGTATGACTCATGCATATTTATACAATACAGCATGCAATCATTTGGTTTGTTTTTCTGTTTTCTTCATGTACATTTAAAATGGTCATATTAGGTAAACTGCAGGCGAATATGAATCAGTATTCCAGGCTCGCAGAGGGAAAGGGGGTGGGGGGGAGGGTAGCGAGTTGTTAAGTGTCATTAATATGAGAGAACGTAAGCACAAAATTCAGAATGTGCAGCAGGGCTCATTAGCAAGACCAAACAAACAGGTCCATGCCTCTGACTCACACAAAGACCACTTTGTGAGCCACCTCTCTCTACGAGTGGAGCACCAAACAGAGTTCAAGGCAACGGAAATGAAAGGTTAGAGAGAACTGAGGGTGCAGCAAAAAAGGAGGACGTTTCGGTTGAAAGTCCACATTAAAAGACAAAAAAAAAATATTGATTTTTTTAAACTGCAGACAAAAAAAATAGATTTTTTTTTTAGTGGTCAAGCACAGGTGAAAAAGTGATTTGAGCAAATCTCTAAGTTTAAGTGCTAAAATAACTCATCGCTTAGCGAAGTCATTTCAACATATGCATTTGCAGACATCGAATCTCCATCTGATACTTTAAAATCAATATCAGGCACTTGCAATTCTGACAAATTACATTTCATCAGCATTATATTGCCTGATTGGTTTTGCAATTGTGCCTCACTTAACTCACTCATAAATGATGTAACTGGATGTTAACATGTCTAATACTCTGTCCCGGCAGCATTTTCCACAAGACAGGCTTATTTTTCTAAAGCTATCTAACTTAACAGACATAACTAGAGTCTTTAATAAACTCTTATCTTACTGCTGCTAACAACGTTTTCAGGAGGACACAAGCGTTTATCAGTGTCTATCGCAGTGTCATGTTTCAGAAGTTTTTCTCCTTTATAAACTGAGTTATAAACAATAAATGCTAATGTTTCAGCCTCTGTGCATCTGAAACTGTGACCGCACTATGCAAAGCAGGAGAATTGACAGGAAGCTGCAGCCAATATAGTCTCTCTTTCACTGCAAATGTTAGCGATGCATAATACATTGGCAATAAAATCAATATTGTACAATGTTAGTCATTTTTTTTAAACATACAACGTAAAACTGGGCCAATATTAACAACTGATGTTTGTTTCTATCTTGTTGTCATTTGTCTTTGTGTTTCAAGACGGTGGGTTAGACAAGCAATATTAACATCAGATATCTATAGTGACCCAAATTTTCATATTGTACATACATACAGGACATACAGTAAATATTACCGTAAAAAATGACAAACAATTAAGATTGCCTACCTCAAGATCATCCAGAGATCGTGCCATGCTGAGACGTTTGGAAGAACGACGCTTGGAGGTGCGGGTAACACCTATACCCCAAAACCTGGATCCCTATCAGAGGAGAAGGTTGAAAAGAAAAACACAAATTACTGCACTGTTTAAATGAGCACCATACTTTCCCCATTTGGAAGCAAGTTTACTGGCTTTAGATGGAGCACACACATATTCAAGTTTGAAACAGTGTTTAACTACCTGCAAGAAAAAAACCCAAAACAATTTAATAAGTTGCTTGTCTGCAGTTTTAGAATGCAATTGCGATATATCGGAGTTACTCCTCTAAATGTTCAAGCAAACTAGAAGTAAGAAATTACTTTTAAGTCTCATCCACACGCACAGATCACACATTTTAAATCCCATCAAAGTCAGTCGGCCCATCTGAGGCAGAACTACCTTAAAAGATAATGAGTTCTAACTTTTTTCCACACCCCAGCCAATTATTATGAAAGCAGAGGTTGTGACTGATGTTTAAACTAGAGTTTAAGAATTGCAGATAATTACCAATGTATGAAACGGGCTCTACCCTGTAATTTGCTCAGCTTCCTGTCTAACGTTGTCTTCTTTCAGATCTAACGTCGCAGCAGGGGCACACAATTTAGCTCTGAGTTTGAAAATTACCATAATAAATACAGTGATGCGATCTAAAAAAAAAGGATGCAGTTTGAATCCAAACCTATCCAACACTTTTGAGTAGTTTTTTTCTTTTTTTTTCTAATAAACACACATTTGTCACGATGGGGCCTAATTGGAGCCCTTTGTGCAGCCGGAGAGAGAGAGAGTGAGAAATCACTCCAGTGGATCTGTTTAAGTGCATTGCTGTTTCCCAGAGGGAAAGCTTGTTTCCGGAGCTACGTGGATATATGGGGACATCTTGTGGTCAAAGGCAAAACCAAAAAGGAGGGGAACAAAAATAAATCTTGACGTTTTTTTCCCCCTACACATCACGGTTGACAACAGTCAACATTTACACATTTTGAAAAAGTATCTGTGTTTTAGAAGACCTATCAAGATAAAATGAAAAATCAGCCACTTTAAACCAGCACATCCACGTATTTGTAACTAAAGCTAAATATTTCATCTGTATTGAAAAGTGTGAAGAGAAAATATGGCAATATCTTACATTTCTGTAGCTGCCATCTGCCCGCTGTTTCTGTCTTTGTTCGAGAAACCTCTTGGTCCATTCCTCTCTAGGAGGCATCATGGCCTCTGTGGAGTGGTACCTGTCTGAGTGCGCCTGATTCAGTGCAGACAGAGGGTTATTTGTGGTGGAGTTTATGTTGGTGGATGTCTCCTGATTTACAGAGTCGCTGCTTAGGGTTTTAGGCCATTTTGGCTTCGAAAACCACCTTTGGCTGCTTCTTAAGGGATAAGCCAAAAAGTTTGGTTTTTTACTCAAGGGTAACGGAGGAGGTGGGGGCTTGAAATGAAACTCCAGCCTGGGTGGGGGACCTCCGTAGAAGCTTGTGAGAGAATCCGGGCCAGGTAGTGACTCTGAAAGGGAATGTGGGCTGGCACTGTTCTCTGGCTGAAGTTTTTGGCCATTCTTGACGGGATTTACAGGGGTGACGACCTCAGTCGAGGGATAATCCCATGGACAGCTTGGGAGGTGGGTCCCAGAAAGATTTGGGATATCAGAAGGGAAATCCCTGTCCGCTCTCTCCTCAGGGGGGGAAGAATTTTCAATCCCGCTGTCCCCGTTGCTGCTAGCACTGCCTAGTTTGCTGGTACTGTCGGTCTGCTGAGCCTCCATGTCCAGTTTAGCTCGAAGCCTTTCCACCGCCTCCCCCAGGTCGCTATATAGGACTGTTACAAAGTGTAGCACGTCTGGGGGAGTCTGAGGGAACTCGAGGCAGCCCAAAGAGTCTGGATCTGGCGTACAGTTAAAGCCAAACCGGCAAGCAATCCCTATGTGATCCTTGTGGTTTCCCAGCTCTGGGTCAATGAAGAACACGTGGCAGGACGCCCGGAGAGGACCATCATCTGGTACCCGGCCATTGATAATGTGTGCCGTGGTGACCAGGCAGAAGAAACGTGGATCCTCAGCACAAACAGCTCCTAAGACAAGGTTCTCAGCAGGGAACGCCGCCAAAACGGCTCCTGCGTCGTCACACAGTCGAATGCAATCAAACATGACCTTCATCATCACGAGGGTGTGGGTATCTTGCTCTGTGCCCAGCTGTCGGATTCTCTCCCGAATGGCCTTTAAACAGTCGTCCTCGGTGTCACCGGTGTTCAGAATCAGCTCGGTGGAGCTAAGGTAGCCCACCACCAAAGTCATGTTTAAAACACTCCAGTCTGGATTGACTTCTTCGGTGTCGGTAAAAACAGAATCTGTGTCTTTAACCGTAGGCGTTTCCTCCTTTTTCTTTCCAGACAAAACACTGAATTGTTGTGTCCACAGCGACATATCGGGCTCTGAAACTGGCCTCTGTTTAGCGGTGACACCGTTGTTAGGATCAAAGGATGGTCTGCTTGGGTCATGCGATACAGTGCGGAGGACACCCGGCTTCTGGAAAACACTACTTTTTTGCTCAAACCCAAACTTGGCATCATTGAGGATGGGGTTCCCCATTATTCGTCGTTCTGAGAGCACCACCATATGCAGGGGTCCTTTGCAGCCACCAATCAGCTGCACCACAGTTTCGTGAGAAGCAGCGGAAACGTCAGCTCCATTGATGGCCATGATTCGATCTCCTTGTCTGAGTCCCACCACAAAAGCAGGACTGCCCTCCATGATGCCACTCAGCAGACACGGTTTCTGTCCTGTAATAGTAAAACCATATCCAGCCCGACCCCGGATGACCTCCACATCCCGGAGTTCACCAGTTGCGTTCATATCCAGACGCCTCCTCGCACCCTCAGGCTGCCCTTGGATCCTCATTTTAAGTCTCAAACAGAAAACCTTGAGATTGCCACCACTACTGTATTGTTGTCATCCTGCAATCAGATGAAGAGGGGGAAAAAACACCTTAGATTTCACAATTACCATGCTCAAGCCCAAACATTTTAATCAATTTGCTAAAAATAAAGAGAGAGAGAGAAAAAAGATGAATACTAGCAGAAAATCGCTAAAGCTACACCTATATTTATTCAACACTCATTGAAATTTATTTATATGGTCACATAAAACAAGTATTACAATAATTTTATCCATCACTAAATATGACTTACATTGACGACTGTAATCTCAACATTATTCAACCCTCTGCTTAAAATCACTTGTAAAAGTTCATACTTGTAAATCCGGTGCAACCAATCACATGTGTGAGACAGAACACCTTGAACTGATATTTCACTTCATACTAGAAATATGGATAAGACAAAAAGCAATGTTCCAAACCGTTCAGAGAAGAGATTATTGTCTCAAATAAGTTTATAGAAAGGCACGCATAATTGCATGGCATGCCATCTTGTCTTTCCCATTTTTTTTTAAAAAAAGGCATGAATTAAATTTATATAGATCTCAAACTAAAATAAATATGCACAAATTTCTAGAAACACCTTATGTTAGTACATAATCTTTTGTGTGGACCCTGAGTTCAAAAATTTGTTTTTAAAACATAAAATAACTTACTCACGTGTACCCACATCTAGCTTAACCTAATTTCATGCTTCAATTTGCTTGCTAAATAAAAGCTAACAAAATTTGAATCAATCTTGCTTTACCAATTATCTGTCAGAGATGTAACAGGTGGATCTTTCATGCCCAAACACAACTTTTATTACTCGCCCTGCTTCACCCCTACCTCCCTGGCCCTTGCCTGCCCCCCTCCCACTAAACAGAGCGCCAGCTGGCTTTTTACTCACCAGCACTTTAATGACAAACATACACTTTGGTTCAGCAAACCACTGTTATTTTTGAAATATCCCAACTTACCACAAAAGGACAGAGTTGAACTTAGGCAAAATGGCAGTCATATGTTTCTCTCTTACTACAAAGAAAGCATTAAAGCATCACAATTTTCATTACTTTCACGCTTTAACTAAAACCTGTACAGGAAAAAAAACAACGTATTGGCTTACCTGTTTCAGCGTTAAAAAGTTTCAATAAACCGCAGAATTTATGCGCACTCCTTGAAATAACTCCTTTAGTTTACGAAACTAATGCCAAACGTCCATGTTTTCTTTCGGTTTATTTCTTTTTATACTATTTACAACATTGTCCTGCCGTGATTCAGGGGTCCATATGGCTACTCGCAACAGCACCTCCTCCCTCGTGAAAATCACAAAGCGTCTTTGATTGTAACCATGACAGCGTAACGTCTCTCGAACACGTGACGCTTCCCTTTGCCCAATCACCATGGCTGTCACATTCAATATTCAAACGAGTGGAGCGACGCTATTGGCTGACACAGGCGGCAGTTGAAAATGTTAATTTTGCTCTGAATTTGATCACATTTTAAAACACAGATTGTATTTCAGCGTCATTTCTATCAGAACTTTTTTTTTTAAAAAGTAGTAAAAGTTACACTGAATTCTGCGGCAAACCCCAGTAAACGTAACGACGGAGTACATTTCTATAAAGTTCACAATGCAGAAATAAGGGTAAGTTATTTTACCCTTTTCCTAATTAAAACAATAAATAAAAGCATACGTGTTACCTGGATGTTTTATAATCCTGTCGCATTTAATTTTCATGCTAGTGGTCCCAGCTTTGCTCCACACTAACACCACGACTGTTGTGAAAATAATACCTTAGTGGTCAAAGGGCTTCAACGGTTGCACACATTGTTTTTCTACACATGTGCAGTGCAGCTTACGCTCCTACTTGTAAAAAAGGGAGGGACAGTGCTTATTTGAACAAATGTCATGTGATATCAGAGTTATCAGTCAACCAGGCCTGCTGATATACTTGGCTCCATTCATTATAGTGTGTGTGGGTGGGCACAGATATCATAGCTCTCTTTTAGAGTAAAAACACTGCTGCTTTTTAAGTAACAGACCTAATATACTCTGAAGAATAAGCTAAAACTGGGGCGCATTAGAAGGGATCACTAAGCATGTCATCTTTCACACTTCAAATCCAACAGCTAGAAAGTTTTTGGATTTTACGCATGCATCAAAAACTCTGGCAGTACTCTGTAAAAGTTTCTTAAACAGCTGGATATTCTGAATGTCTTTTCCAAGATGCAAACTTTTATTTTATTTTATTTTTAATTTTATTCCTTTTAGTAAGTTTTGGAATCCCTAATTATAAGCAATACAATACAGGAGAACAATACAATCCCATTTTTAAAAATATTTGGGGAAAAAGTACTTTAATTTGAAGCAATTTGTAAAAAAAAAAAAAAGAAAAAAATCTAAATCCATAGTTATTTTTCACAAAAGCACTAGCAGCATTGATGTTTTATATCAAACAAATAAGATGAAAAAAAGTATGCTTTTTTAGGTTGAGCAGAGTGTCTAGTTTTGCATAGTAAGTAATCGTTTGTTTGTTTTTTTATTTATGATTGTCAGATGTCTCTTCGGAGGTTCTTTACAACTGAAAAGACAAGCAAACGTGCAAACAACATATAGGTTCTTTTGCAATCCAGGTTTGGGGTCAGCATGAAAGGGCAGTTGCGTCTGTCACAAACCGAACCAAACCAAATACTAACTGGCTAGAATGACACTTGACAATGGAGAAGGGCCTTTTATGTGTAGGGTACTTTTTACACAGTGAACCACTACAAACAGGTAAAATGTTTTAGGAGACAATTGAGTGTTGTACCAGTGCCAAAGGGAGATCATACCAAGTGTTAACACCACAGAGTATGACACAAAAAGAGTATGACACAGTACCAGTCAGTTTGGCATAACTTGTAGAGCTGCACAGCAGTCTTATTAAAACTAAAGACACTGGACAAACGTTGAACAAAACATGAGGAAATGGTGGGAGCTGTTATAAGCGATAAATAATTCCTAGTGTTTCGAGACAAAATGAGTCACTAGACTAAAATAAGACAGAAGCAGACCCTATTTTTCTTGCTATGTTATTTTTGTCATGGAGTTCAAGTATGAAACTAACAACAACAACAAAACACACAAATAGACTGCAACAGGTGGAACAGTAATTAAAAAAAAGAAAAGTTGCTAACAAGTAAAATAATAATGGAAAGATTACTTAAAAAATATGTTAATTAAATAAATACATAACTGATACTCGCCAGGGCAAAGGTGGAAGAGATAAGAAACCATGTACCATGACAGGGAACATTTAGGTGCAAGAATGAAAATGAGTGTAAAAGCAGCCAAAGGGGACGCAGACTTTTTTTTGGGAAGTACTCAGTTTAAACTAAAAAAAAGTTTGACTTACTGAAGAAAAACCTAGTTCTGAGACTGCTTGAGATGTTAGCACAGTCTGTAACCGAAATGAAGTTACACATAAATATTATTCATTTATATTTATATGAATCAATGAAAACTGTCATGTTTAGCAGTTCCTTTCAAAGCAAAAGAGAAAAAAAGGACAAAAATAGAAAAAAATTGACTTTTTGAATAAGAAGCGCCATGAAAGCTTTAATCAAACAAAAACACTCACAGCGATCTGAGTGAGACTCCGCTGTGCAATATTGAGGCACCAATGCTAACTGTAATTATATCTAATCTGATGTTTGCAAGGAGGAATTTCCCACCAAAATCGCATTTTCAAAAGATTTGAAAACAAATCTTGACTCCAAAAAGAATTTGTGTTGGTTCTTCTTTTCTCAAAGCGCTTCCTTCAATGCCGGTGAATTCGATTTCTGCCTCATGATGTTGCAAATTAGCTTGTGTTGCTAAAGGACAATCCTGATATGTAATTACAAAAGCCACAGCGAACAAAAAGGCAGGATTTCAAAAGACTGTTTGTAGTTATTTTAATTGGATACTTGGCATGTAATTGAGAAATATTTTACACAACTAGTTCTAAGCTAAAAAAAAAAGACTAACTATATTGTAACCCAACATACAGTGGATGCTAAAATTTAAACAAAGTCCTTTTAGTTCTTTTAATCATTGTTTTCAGGCACCCCCACAGAGTTGGTGAAAGTATCTTTTTTTGGTAGTCCTTATCTGTGGTGTGATAACAGTTATTGTCTAATTTGTATGTAATACTGCAGGTGAGACATGGAACGAAAGAACCTGCTTTTCCTATGAGCGTTGGGAGATTCCGTGATTTTTTATTTTTTTTTTCCCGCCCCTTTCACGGTTTCCCTGGATCTTTTGCCCCGCTCTGACTCCAAACCGCTGACGCTGAGCTGGGGAGCTGTACCATTTTCTCCAGGAGGTTCATCATCCTCTCCTGCAGCTGCAGACACTGGACCTGCAGGAGGTTCTGTTGGTGCATGGATCGTCGGAGCTCCCGGCACGTCTCCTCTATCGCCTGGCTGGACTTCTTGTGCTGCTGGAGCATGGCCTGCATGACCTGCAGCTTCTTCCTCTTGAGGGACAGGTACTTTCTGGCTCGTCTCTTCCTGGCTGAGACGGGGTGGGAGCTGAGGAGCGGAGAGGAACATCTATAAAGGTTTACAACGATTTTAGATTGGAATTAGGTTTAGAAGGAATGATTACCTGTCAAGAACATAGTGTGTTCTTTAAAAAGTAAAAAAAATAAAACAGACTAGTGACGAAAAATCTGTTGTAAGCCCAGTTAATAATGTTTGCCTATGTGAACTAGAAACCGTCCTAGAACTCATACTTAAAAACAGAATCCCTCTTACTGTAAAACCAGTTCAAAAAAACTTTTGCTTTCAGTTAATTTTGTCTCAGCCTTGCGCAAAAATAAAATGCAATGCAGAATTGATTAATGTCTCCAAATTTGGCAGTCACCAGGAGCAGCACTGTTTGCATGTCATGTGATGCTTATTAAATGTGTGATTGTTTTGGTTGGTTTGGTGCTGAAGATCACCAAAACCTTCAAACACCGATGATTAAAAATGAGCAGGCAGCTGTCAAGGTCCAACGTTTCATTACTGTGGACATTCTTGCATTGTTTTGCTGTGGGGCGCTTTAGATGATTAAAAATCCAATTTAAGTTTGGGTTTAGTTGGGTGAAGGTACTTGTTCACCACCAGCCTTTAAAAAGGCATTTATTTAGTTTGTATTTTACTTAACTTTGCTTGATTATTTATTTATCTCTATTTTATCTTATTTCTTACATAGAAATAATTACACAATTCATTTATATATTAGTATTTCATCTGTAATTTAGTGATTCTCTGTGATAGTTAATGTTTTATCATTTATTTGACTGTAATGTTACTTTTATTCTATTTGGCTTTTATATCAAATATCTTGATCTTTGGCTTCCTAGAGGTAATGTGTGTTTTTCTTAATTAATTTGTGACTAAGTCAAACAACTCAATTAAAGCAAAAAAAATAAAATAAATAAATAAATAAATAAAAAATAATTTTTTTTCTCTTAAAATGGTCAGGTGGGAGGCTAAAATTGAGTGTAAAAGCAGCTAAAGTTTAAAGACGCATCACCAAAGGACAAATCATCAAAATAACAGTGGAAACATACAAGAAAATGTTATACAGTTGCAAGAGGAGTTGCAATACCAATAGAGGGCATAGCCTCCATTTTTATTTTTATGATTTATTTTTCCGAAATTAATACTCATTTTTTTCATGCCTGCCTCACTTCCTGCCAGAATCATTTTAAATCTAAGTCTGCCAGAGGTTAAAAAACAAACAAACAAAAAACAAATAGATACAGTTATTTCAGTTATTCTAAGTCCTAATGAGTATTTTTCTCAAGTGTGGCATTCAAATCCAAATCCAAAAAATAATAACATAACAGTACGGCAACAAATATTGAATATAAGTAACAAACAATTACAAGCAGCATATAGTTGAAAGAGCCTAAAATGTGTTGCGTCGCCTTACGATAGAAAAGCACGCTTGTACGCGGGTGTTTGGTTTTCCTGTTACCTGGAGCCCAGCATGTGCTCGCTGTCTGAACTCAAAGAGTCCAGCTCCTGCTTTATCTCCATCTCATCTGAGGAGCCAGTGTACTCTGGCAGGAATCCAATCACGCCCTCCTCCGACTGGTGGGACAAGGGGTTGTCTGTGGACTGGGACGAAGTGGAGGGACCGGCGGCCGAGGCCTGAAACTCCAGCGAGTTCACCCTGCCGTTCTCCAGAGGCTTGGAGAGGATCTTCTCGATGGCCTTGTAGTAAGGCCAGTCCGGCGTCTCCCCCGATTCGTTGGCTGTGGCCTTCAGTCTCCTGTAAGAACAAAGAAAGCGGAAGGATTATTACTTTTTCTTTTTTTGTTTTTTTTACTTGTCGGGCAACATCTGGACCTGTGGAGTCACAGCTGCTGGACATGGAAGCACTTGCCTGAACTGGAAGGACATGTTAGTGATTTTCATCTTGATCTCCTCTTTGAAGCGCTGCTCTCCGGTGAGCTGGAAAAACCTCTGGGACATCTTCTCGTAAACCTTGGCGTTCCTCTTGCTGGTTTTCAGCTCGTTGTGGAATTCCTCCCACACGTACAGGAGGGCCTTCATTTCGCCGTCGGTCCAGTTCGGGGCCCGCCTGTGTTTCTCGCTGTGGCCTGGCATCAGGTAGCTGAAACTATCGTCCACTGCCATTTTGGAGTTGGCTTCCTTCTCTCTATGTCTCTCTTTTGGCCTGTGCTGGCTGTGGGTTTCTCTCTCTTTTTCTTTCTTTCTTTCTTTCTTTTCTTTTTTTTTTTTTTGCAAAGATAGGAGCTTTAGAGCTTGAATTTGAAAGTCTTTTTACTGTTGTAAGGGCTGGGTTGAGTCTGCAGGGAAGGAGGGATACATGTGAGAGAGCATGCACAGCCACAGCCGTCCTGCCTGCCTCTGCCCTTCCCCCTAGCCTAGCTGAAAGAGGACTCAAAATGGGGCCTAAGGCAGGAGAGAAATCCGGTTAAAAGCTTTTAATACTGCGTGATGTCACCGTGACATCAAGTTGCCTTGGCAACGGTGAGAGAGGGCCTTTTTATCCTCCGAGCCCCCTCCCCCTCTCCTCGCTAACCACTCCCATCCGCTCTCTCTTTTTTGCCCTCCATTCTGCTCCACTGGCAGCACAAAAAGCTTTTAGCTGAAAGGCAGCAGTGTGAGCACACCAGATTGCTGACACTCTTGAAATATGAGCCTCGAGGGAAGGGAAGGGGAGGGGTGGGAAAAAAAAGGAGCAAAAAAGACTAGCGGCCACGAATGTGTTGTTTCCTTGGCAACAGGGCAATGGATTTGGTAGTCAGCCAACACGCTGCTCCATTTAAAAGCTTTTAATAATAGACAAGTCGTTTTGAGGAGCTGCGGGGAGGGCGGATTTTGCTGCATCTGGATTTGTGCAGAAAGACGAGGCAGACAAACAGTTCAGACCCTCACAAAAAGAAAAGGAGAAAAAAAAAAAGAGAGAAGCAAGTCGTTTCATTGGGGAAAAGTGTGAATCTCCGAAGGCTGGAATTTACAGGGAGAGACATCAGGCAAAAAATGGCAACATGTGGTGATCAACTGCAGAGAAATACAGCCTGCTGCCCTTTGTAATCAGCTTTCTTTGCACAGCTGTGAGTGGTGGACAATAGCGCCCTGCAGGAGGGGTTTGTCTGACCAGTTGAGGACCCCCCCCCCCCCACCGGCCTAGAGGTTTCTGCAAACCTTAATCTACTCTTTCACAATGCATTTCTTTCTCTCTTTGCAGTTCCTCCCGTTTCTTCCTCTACTTCATGTTGAGATACGCACCAGTGTGTCATTTTCTGCATCTCTTTTCCCCTTCCTTTGCTGTGTCTTGTCCCCCTTTCTCCCCCTCCACCAAACCATAAAAGAGCGGAGACAGAAGAGCGATGCAGTAATGGAAGTCATCCGTTATCACTTCATCTACATTAGTGCCACTAGTTGCTGTCGGTCCGGCTTAACCGAGGAGTGGCCCCATTAGATCCTTTAACCCATCTGCTTCTCTTTAACCCAGCAGACGGGCCTGGTGCTTCTTCTTCTTTTTTTTTTTTTTTTAAACTCCTCCACATACTGAAGCATCACATCTGCCACTTAAAGCAAAGCTCTGTCGCTGCAGAAACGAAGGAGAAATGGAAAGTTGATCTGAAAGGTTTTCAGCGTGAACCCTTCTGGATCATCATCAGAGCGACAACATTTCTGGAACTGGCGCTGAAGTGGCCTACGTGTGCTGAAGCGCTCACAGTTTCTGTCGCGTCGCTGTCACATTTCATCGGGTGACTTGTTTCTTTTCCAACGCTGACTCTTCTTCAAAGGCTGGGGACCTTTATAATTGTGTTTAGTTGCTTCTGTAAATTCCTCATTCATTACGGTGGAAGTAATCCCACCAGCTAATCCAGAAACCAGACTAATCTGCAGATAAACTGCTCATCCTGAGAGGAGGAAGTCAGTATTGTGAATGATCTACATAATCTAGCCATTTGCTGTACAAGGCTTTACATTTTTCATACACAGCAACTGATTTAGCAGAGACTACCACGTTTTTTTTTGTTTGTTTTGTTTTTGGTTTTTATAAACTAAGAATGATAAAATGTGAAAATTCTCATCCTAAGAAAAGTCAAGTAATGATCTTGCAAAGTAAATTTAAATGAATTTCTGATGGCTTAGTCAGGTAAGCGTTTTGGTTAAAGGGGTCTTCTCCTAACCCCGACCCACCATAAGCAGCTTTATCGTTAGTGATTGTCCCATTCTCTTTGCACTCAGATCTTACAGAAAAACAACAGGAATGCCTCTTGAAGTCAGAATATTTCTGAGCTCTCTGAACAACCCCGCATTTTGTGTCCACTATAGGTGCCATGCGTATAGCATGCTTATAAACCAATATAAACTATTTGGTCAAATTTCTCACGGTTTGTGTCTTATTACACCAGCGTTCAAGGGTAGTGCCTAAAAAAATATTTGTGAACATGTTCTTTTTGTTTGCTTTAATGCATAAAATTGAAAGAAATACATTAATATGCCCTTTCATTACCAATAGCTTTCAGCACAATACTTGCAACAAGAACGCTCACGTGAAAGGTTAAGTTTGGTCAAATCAACAAGTCTGAAAAGCCATCTGGGGTTTTACCAGATAAGAATCTGTAATGCTGTGGTCTTGCCTCTCTTTCATAGATGAGTCTAAGATTAATGTTTTGCAAATAAACACTAGGGGTGTGCTTTGGGTTAATGAATACCATGTAAAAAAGACCTAATCGCCACGGTTAGGCACAATGGAGGGTCTATCATCATGCCATTGCTCTCCCAAAGACCAATGGAATCTTGTTATAGTGCCATGACATTTTAAATGGAAATCTGTAAACCTTTGCCCCAAAATTCAAAATGGGTCATCACAAGGTTAACTAGCAGGGTGAAGAACCAAAGCAAAGGGTTGGGTGAAAAATCAAAGATATGGGTTACATACAAAATCCACTTTCTTCCATAAATATCTAGTACTTCCATACTGGAAGTGTTTACAATTAATCTCCTCAAGCATACTCACATTTGGACAAAAATGAAGATAAACCACGTCAGACTTCAGTTTGCTCTCTTAGAAAACAGTTTAATTCAAATCTGCACGTAAAACACATACTTACATAAAGTATCATAAAGTATAAATGTTGACCCACATCAGTATAACCCAACGCACCTCCAACATACCTCACAGTAAAACAGTCCACTTAATGCAAACTGACTTTGGCCAAAACCGAATCCGCATCATGATAGTCGTTTTGCACCTTCTTATGATTAAAAAGCGAACGTGACAAAAAATAAAATAAACAACATTGACCACATTCTGTAGTGTGACTAAAGGCTGGTGTCTTTTTTGTGTCTTAGACACACAAAAACCCATGAGATGCAAACGACCTTGTTTTCTTCTGCTGCTAAGTAGCTCTGTGCAAATCTGATGGCAGGCAGAGGGTTCTAAAATTTCAATCCTAGCTTTTTGGTGAATTTGCTCCTCCTCGTGGGACTATGAATGAATCACGGCTTTCGTCTTTTAGTCCTGAACAATAAAACACAGAATGCTTTTAAAAGCACACCTACATTGAGGAACAAATAATTAGGGAATGTTCACTTGTGAGCTTATCAAATACAAAATCCTGAAAATTGAGGTTCATGAAGAAAGTGAGTCTTGTGTACACCAGCACACTGTCGGCCCGAGCCAATAAAACAGTGAAACAACGTATAAAATAAAATGGTACATAAAATATAAAAACAAGAATGAGTGTAGCCAACATCATATATCAAGTATTTGTAATATACAAGAATACATTTATAAATCAGACCAAAAAAAAGGAATGCAGTTCTGAAAAAGTGCCACTAGAGGTCAGCAAATATCCATGCTCAGATATCCCGTTAAACATTTGATTTAACTCAAGTTAAAATGTTTTGCTTTGTTGACTAAGACTGAAAAAAACATAAAAGAAAAAAACAACAACATTTACCTTCATTTAAATTCCTCTCTGAGTCCAGCAAAGCAGCAACAGTGGTAAACATGTCAAAAATTACAAAAAAAAGAGAATAAAATAACCTCAGTTACATTCTCATCATGCCTCTCTCTTACGAAGTCTCTCAGTAAGAAATGACAGATCATTTTTAAACTACCGCGGACTTGTATAAGCCTTGCGGCCTTGTCACGTTTTCAGCATCAGAACAGCAAAAGAAATCTGCCTCCGTCGTCAGAAGCTGAAACTATTCCTGCAAAGTTTCTTTGAACAGCTGCTAATTCACAATCAATCTGTTCCCTTTGTCAGAAAATAGCTCAGAGAACTCCGTCATCAGTCTCATTATGTCAGGCCGTTTGTGCTCCAAACGTCTGTCGGCTCAGTCTCTGGTTAGGCACTCCTCCTCGGTGATGCCCTGAGCCCTCAGCTCCTCCAGCACGTTGTCCAGGTGGCCCGGGTCGGGGTACCCGTGGCCCGTGAGGTTGGAGCCGAATTCGGTCTTGTGGTGCACCTCGTTCCAGATCACCGTGTCGGACTCGCCGGTTGTGCTGGACGTGCCTACGGAGAAGATGAGCCTGCGGTCCCACGCTACCAGGAGGAGTCTGAGAACCTGAGCGAGGAAATTAAAAGTGAAACTTGCTCACTGGGTAATTACTGTTCTGGTAAAGTCATAAGGAACAGGACATGTTTATTTACCTTGCGACCCTTCTCACTGTCGGGGAGATAACAGTGTCTGGGGAAACCACGCGCTGTGAACGGCTTTCCTGGATTTGGGTGCTCAGGGCCCTGAAGTACACAACATCCCCAAAGTAATAAGCACTAAAATCCCCTCTTCTGCTTACATTTCTGCTTTTCAAGTATGTCCCGACTCTCACCTGAATGCCAGGCGGGATGTTGTAGATTATGCGGATGGTTTTGCAGTCGGGATGTCCCGGCAGCGAGTGGGGGATGACGTGGTACTCCATTTTGCCTGGGGGCTGGTTGCCCGTCTTGACCCCGTAGATGGTCTTGCAAGTGGGGCACTGCAGGCTGCCGTCCTTGTTGCCGTTGTTGTACATGGCAACAAGACACTGGAGGTGATACTGGTGACCACACTGTGCCAGACGGCCCACTGACTCGGCCCGGGAGATGCCACCCACGCCGGGGCCCTTGTAGCCCGAAGGTCCTGCCAGGGCCTCCATGCAGATGGTGCAGTCCTGACGAGGAAAGATGAGTCAAGTTTGTATTAGGAATCCATCCATCTTTGTCCATTTCATTATTTCTGGAGACATTTTGATATTTTGTGACTCTACAATCACAGATGTCAATGTATTTTATGAATTCATAACTGTGTTCCCTGATTATGCTGTGAGTTTGGTAAAACCTCTGAGGCTCTCAACGCACAGCTGTACTGACATTGAGGTCACATTACGCCCAGGTGAACTTACTACTTGTTGTACTTCTTAAAGGAATTATTTGCAGTAAAAACTTTTCCAGGGTATTCAATGAAAAGGTGGACTCTGCTCTCTGTTTACAGTTTGCACATGCTTGGCGTAGGGGATACACCAGACATGTCAGAGAGGAATCCCCCAAAATATATCATCCTCTCTATGAAACATGGTACTGACTGCATCAGGGATGCTTATCTTTGCAAGGGACGGGACGTTAATTAGAAGATATATAGAGCTAATCTCAGGGTAATCCTAAAAACAACTCAACATGTCACCGACTTAAAAATTACTCCAATTGTGGCAAACTTCTATTACCTTTTAAACAATTAAAGTACACGAAGTCAGAACAAACCAAAAATACATGTTTAACACAAGGCAAACTCACCTCCTCTGGAGGATTTCGGACTTTCTGAAGGTAACGCTTCACCACTTCCTCTGGTGTTTTGCCTGTGAGAAAAAAACAACAAAGATAGACGAAGCTTATTATAGGTTTTGTCAGTCAAAAACAAGTCAAAAACAAACACCGCAGCACAAGCTGAGAGGCCCACCTTTTCGGGCTTGCTTCTTTGTGGTTTTGCGGCAGCTCTGGCTCAAGCCAGGCACAGGTTTGATGTCGCTCTTGCTGACAGGTGGGGGGTGGAGTACCAGCTTAGGAGGGCGTGTGAGGCAGACAGGAAGTCCCGCAGCACTCATCAGGATGCCCGTAATACCTGCGAACAGCCAGTGAAACGAGGTTACATTTATCCTGCCTTCGAAATGCAGTACCTTGCGAAAGTAGCGATGCACCTTCGACCTTTTATCATCTGTACGTCTTATTTGTCAGAAGTAGTTCATAGTTGTGAAATGGATGGAAAATTACATATATTTACCATTAAAACTCCAATAACTGTGACATATTTGTGTAATTAATTCCCTTGATTCAATATAGTTTTGGTGTACGTTCCAGCTCTGCACATCTAAAGACTGTCTCTCCCAGACAGATTCAACCGAATACAGCAAATTTCACAGCTTACCTCCTATTATAATTTGGCTTTACATCTGGACTTTGACTAGGCCACTTTAATACGTAAATATATTTTGAGCGAACCCATTCCATTGCGTCTGATCGTAGCTCCTTCCGTATATTTGCTTTGTCCCCTCTGTGTTTTGTGGCAATCAGCAAACATAACTGTATATGGAACTTCATATAGGTTTCTATTAACAATAACTTTCCACTTGCCATTCCACTTCATAATTATCTCACTACTACAGGTTTTTTTTTTGTTTGTTTGTTTTTATCAAAGCAGTTTAATGTTTTTTGATGAGGCTGTTTGTTTATTTTTACCTGCCAGGGCAGGATGCACAGGGCTGGATCCATTCAGGTTCTTTACTGGAACTGTTGGCACTCTGAAACACGAGAAAAACACAAACTCCTGTTAATCCGCAGACACACAGCTGCCACAGAAGGAAGCCACATGACCGACTGGCCGGGTCAGCTCAGCACAAGGCCGAGCCGTCAGATTCTGATGAGTCACATGTAAACAGGTAGAGCTGCAGCTGACTGCAGCATATGCTCGCTTCCGGTTCAATACGTGTCACCAGGTTAAGAGGCTTTTTGCCGAGTCATGTGGAGGCAGGAGCAGATGCTGCGTGTTAGGACTCGACATACTGTCCTATAACTCATCCAGATTTACCACTTCAAACTGTTTAGGGCTTAACAGTCTGATCAAACCCTTGGCTGATTGAGATGTTACTGAAAAGGACTTAATATATGAACCATTATTTAATAAAAACCCAAAACAAATCTTGTACTGAGCGACATTAATCATCAGATTAAACATTTGCCAATCACAGCGAGACAAACTTTTAAGTAAGAAAACAAAATCTGAATCTCCTAGCTTTGATTTGTGTTTAACTTACATCATAAGCATGATAAGTCCACATAAGCATCTCTTTCACTGCGTCTGCTCAATACGAGGTGAAAAATCCGCGCAAATCTGCAATGTGTCTCACACAGTCTGCGAGGAACACCAGCTGTCCCGTCTGAGGCGTGTACTTACGGTCTGCCATGTTTAATAACAGTCATCGTCCTAGCTTCAATGCACCAAAGAGTCGAGATGTTCCAGCAACAAAAGTCCAGTCGTGGGACTGTTTGTCTTTCTTTAACGCGGTTCGTGAACCACCTCTGTCTCTGCTGCACTCTTCCTCCGCTTGTGTGCTGCTGTCTTACTTCTCCCCCCCTGCTTTTAAAGGGCTAAGCCACCTGTTCCCATCTGTTGATTGAACTCCATTTAGAGGCCAGGGATTGGCAGCGGGAGGGGATTACCTGTGAATTATCACGTCACTCTGCCAGGCGGCTGAAGGGCTGGCAGGTAGAAGCTCAAGCAGCAGCATTCAACGTCAAAATCGACACAGATGTAGACGTATTTCATCGCTATAAATGAAGACTGAATGTGAAATATATCTGGGGCTCATAGATATTAGGCTGTAATCATAAAATGAGTACTGTTTGCCTCAATTTATGTAGCTTTTTCGTTAAGTGTCAGCTGTCCTCTATAATTTTTATGCAATCTGTCAAAAACAAACGTCTGCTGGAGGAAAATATACATTTTGAACGTTAGAAATGTTTAAAAACTGTCTGTCTTAATTTGTGTGCATAAAGTAATCATAGGTATGGAAGTCAAACTGTTATGTTTTTGATTGTTTTTATTGATTGATTTGAGTTTTTCCAAAGAGAATTGATCATAAAGCATAAAACAGGAATGACTTTTAAACCTGGTATTGGAAGGTCAACTTTCCATACATAATCAAAGTTATATATATATATACTGTACAACATGTTTCACTCAAGCCTACACTTTACGTAACCATTAACATGCTTCTGGCATAACTCCTGGATGTTTTATCATTCCTCACATCAGAAATACAAGAGCTAATTTTAAAACTGATGATTTCAAATTTCACAGAACTGGTTTCCAAGCAGGTCCAAACGGATCTGAGTCCGAAAAGAATA